TCCTGAATAGGTTTAGGAAGTAAGGAACACCCAGATCCTCCTCTGGCTCGTAAAATGCTTACGACCGAGATATCAAGGCCCCAAAGAAAGCGAAGAGAAACCGAGCGCCTCCGCCGCAGCCGAGTGGTTATCAGAATTCTTTTCGAATGGCCATCCTGAAAACATCAAAAATACCCGAGGTGGCTATATAACTATTCGTCAAATGCATACGAGCTGATGTTGTACTGTAAAGAATTACTACGAAAGTATGTACGCTTCAAGAAAGAAACAACCTAGCATTCGTAACAACGCCTACATCTTGAAGTCTTTTTATTTCTTCAACGTCGAATATCTGGAACACTGACACTTTCTTGAACATCTGCCCTGGAAATATTTTCCCGACCACCCAGTACTGCCCTTGGAACAAACTCAGTCCGAAATTACTGCCTAGTAGCGTGTATAGGCCATCTGGGATTGGATATTGGTGGTCAGCGACAATTTTGAACGTGTGCTTTCCCCTAGTGTTGCTGTACCTGACGGCTAACTCGCCTTGTCGGCATTTTCCCTCCGGCGATCCTTCAGCCAATCCCCGCACGTAACCCGATTCAATAAAGGCTCCAGAATCACACCAATCAGCATCTGTCTCTGTGCAGTGAACACTATCCCCCCAGCTCCGACAGAACAACGGCAACACTTCAGTCATTGTCTGCTTCCATGAAGGCCGCCAACATTTGGGTCCGTTCCCGGTTTGAGGACACTGGAAAAATAATTGGGCTCGATGTATTGGATGTATTACACCCACCAATGCTGTCCACGCGTCCTCTTCAGACTGGGCATCGTAGTACGCTGGCACCTGTATTGGATCCAGAAGGTACGTTAACGCCACAATTTTGTCAACAGGATTCGTCGACACACGCTTCTGCATTGCTGATAGCATGCGCAAGTTGCCCATCATGTTCGATGTCGGTGCACCCCACACCTCAAGCAATGATTCTAGATCCATCCAAAACGCCACTAGTACCTCCTTTTCCATGATGTCGTTTCGACGAGTATCACCGGCAATGATCGGTGGCTCCCCGTTGAATTGTCGACGGCTGAACTCCTGCAGTGTCCATGCGCGCCTGAACCAATACCGATCGCTTCGAAAGTCGCCCGCCTTCAGAATCCAAGGCCGCCCCAGGCCACTGAAGTAGGTCACCACATGTTCGGTCCATCGGTAAACGTACCCAATGGTGGGTACATCCACCTTCCACTCCTCTGGACGTAAGTGCTCTCCCTGCCCTCCCACCTGCCTTAAACACAGAACGTCCAACCATGCATACTCTGCACCCAGGTTCAGCATCTCGATGCGGATGAGGTCAAGGTCAGCGTCCTTCGGGATCGGCACAGGCCATTCACGTCCGTTGATAGGCGTTAGCACATCCACGCGATCCTCCTTTTCCATCCAAGCATGTGATATTCCCAGCGGGTATCGACGCACAACCCACCATGGCACCACCCGGTTGCTGTATAGATCCCAGACGCGCCGAGGAGGCACACGGCGGTTAACGATCCGCCGACCCACGAGCACATCTTTCCGCATGTGCCGGTCCAGCGCTTCACGAGTACGTAGCTCGTCTTCAATGCCGGTCAAGTCATTGAACCAAACTGAGCGGAGATGACCGTAACAAGTGCCAAAGTCGTCATACTTGGTGATGCAATTTTCAAGGAGAGATGATAGGTAAGTGTCGTCCAGAGTGTACGACGTTCCAAGTGTGAAATTGAGCATCGCTAAGAGTTTAGTAACACTGAGGTCGATGGAGCGGGTGTTGGCAAATAAAGATGTTATAACAGGATTCCTACTCGTGTAGGACCGTTGGTAGGGTACTACAATGGAAGACTCCGCGTGGCCTGTCTCTGTAAATGCGGAAAGGGTAAACTTGCGAAAAGTTTTATCCTTGAGAGGATCTTGTTTCATCTGCAAAATGTTACTAAATTCCCATCTGTGCATGTTTTTACCTGCTTACCCAGTCTGATCTATAGTGAGCGAGATGTACATAACGCCACCACCATTCCCCGTCATCCTCTATGAGTCTTTCTGAACGTAGCATTGTAGCGGAGCGAAGAACCGAAATGACAATGCAACAACAAGTATTATTGCGTGTCCTCCACGAATTCTGCGTGGTGTAGTAGTTACGCCAGGTTTATACCCAGAGATTGCAGTGCTTTGCCCTCGTGGTAGGAAGCAAACGAAGTAGACGCCGGACCGGGCCGGTACCTCGTCGGAACCACGGTAGGCGGCCACGTTGCCACCAATGTTCCTCTACGATTTAGTCATATATATCGACCACATCCACAGCACATTCTACAAAATTCATAGAACTTGAACTGGAAGAGAGCTGGATTGGTCTGTCAGATTAGTTTTGGAGGATCTCCAACCGTAGTTGGGGCAGATGGTAGAGGGCCGAGCTGCCGAGCATGTATTTTCCTGTGTATACTTAAGAACTTGTCGGCGACGGCTGATAAGAATCGTAACGTACTGTTATCGTGCGTTATCTCGGTAAACCTGGTCATGCAGAGTGAGTCTCCGTGTCGCACAACCATTTTGTGATATAACTTGGGGTGAGGGCCGAAGATCCTTGCACGACGATGCATGACGGTTGGCAGCCACGGAATCCCGGCCCGGAAATAGCATTATGGCGTGGGAACAGGCTTTACAAATTCTATTGCACCGCCCTTACATACGCCGTTCCAATTTGGCGCACCCAATCGTCACACCAAAAAGGTGAACCTTCGAGATGGTCTAATATGCAGTCTCTTATCATAGATGTAGATGTCAGCCTCTGCCCGGTGCCTAAAGTGCGGGTTCAAGCAACAAGGCTATTCGCCTTCATTCCACGGTCCTGACCTGGCAGCGTCGCGATTTGATGAATTGCTCGAATCAAATAATCCACCGTTGCAAGCTGAGCATGCTCACCTGGAGAAAGTTATTGGCGAAGGCCATGACTTTTTGTCCAGTCTAAAGGAACGAATAACTCAAACACGTGCTGTGCTCGAGGAATTATCAGATGAAGAGAAACGTGTTGAACGTCTGGTTGAATCTTGCAAGAAAATCATACATCCTATTCGTAGCGTTCCAGAGGATATCATTCGGGATATCTTCTTGACGTGTTTGAGCACTAACGAGCGAGAGATAAAGGACTCGTTGGATGGGAAATCTCCGCCATTGGTGCTTTCAAAGGTCTGCAGGAACTGGAGAAGTGTTGCTGTATCAACGTCCCATCTCTGGTCGTCCCTTTCGCTTCATTTTGATCAATACAGAGATGCGAAGGCATGTCTACATCTACTCCAGATATACCTGCTGCGGTCTGGGACACAGGATATTGTTCTATCCTTGCACAGTACAGAGGCTCTCTCAAATAACCACGTCCTCCCTGTTCTTCTTTCGAGTGCACCACGATGGGTGGATATCCGTATCTTCATTCCATTCCTTTCACTACACGATTTCTCTGCTGTCAGAGGAACTCTGTACTGCTTGAATCGTCTCTGTGGAGTTTACAGACGATCCATCGACCTCACCCGGCCCGCAGTAGGAACCCAAATTTGACGCCTTCGAGTATGCTCCGTTGCTCCGCAGCTTCTTCCATGAGTGTGTATTCAACGCCATTCATCAGATAAGCATACCGTGGTCATGGATCATTGAATACACAGGAGTAGATTGGACAAGTTCGTATATCGAGATGTTCAAGCTCACGCTGGGTTTGGAGAGTGCATCTTTGTATTGCGAAGATGACTCGATCCTTGATCGGCCTCTTCCCCTTCTGTTTCGCCATTGCACTCTTCGTCGTCTTCACGTTCATGAGGAGGAGCAACCTGTTGACGCGACTGTTCAATCAGAGGGGGGTATCGTTCTTCTCCTTTCGCATATTGAATGTCCAGCTCTAGATTTCCTGAGTATGGTTTACAATCGTCCGCAGATTCGGATTCCTAGTTTTTTTTGTGCTGGAAACTTGAGGACCCTCTCCATCGATGCACCATGCACCATTCCCCCTGAGGCCCAGACTGATTTAATCAGTCTCCTCAAGACGATACCTTCGCTCACTCATCTATCCATTCCCATGTCCATGTCGCCAGAAGAGGGTGTGATTCTCCTTGGACTTAACATCAATATATTTCCTGACATTGTTCCCAGTCTTAAGTCGTTGACTTGCCGCATCTTAAGTGAGCGCCCAGACCTGTCAAGTGTTTTCGTCGATTTTGTTGAGTCTAGGAGGTCCCGTTTGGAGACTCTTCGTTTATCTGTGCCGTTTAACATACCACCACTACCTGATGCACTGGTTGAGCAGTGGATAGAGCTGTGTGAGGAAAATTTTGTTATATATGGTATGGAGTGACAATATTTACTTACCCACTGTTTTTAAATTCGATACCTGATATTACTTCTAACGATTGCGACAAAACAGCTTAGATGGCTCCTCTGGGTATGGCTGAGAAACTGTAAATAAAGACATTTCCTGACAGTTCGTATCGCAGCATGCTCAATAATATCGATGCACAACTGTCAAGGGTGGAAGAGTAAGGCGGAATGCGTGCTTGATTACTATTTAATCTTAGATGATATGTATTTCTTCCGCTCTACTACCGACCAGCAGCAAGAGAATGGTCTTTGGTAATTAGTGCGAACATCCCATTTCCATCTATTGGAGGTTTCATGTGCTACAGCCTAGAGCTACCCTCTGTTGGAGTTGCAAGTGGGCTGTTAGTAGGACCCATAGTTCCACTGGATACATGTGTATTTACACTCTGTTTTTCTTTTCTTTTCTTTGTCTACATACATATGTGCTGTCTACCGGGCTGTATATATCCATAATAGTTGTACTTCGTGCCTCAGACACATTTCTCAGATATGAAACGCTTCTCTGAGTGATCTTTCATAGAGATATCTACCTTGCAGTGTGCACTCTAAGTCTCTAACATTAATGACTAGTACTTACACTTTTAGGAAGATTAGACAAAACACAAAAAGAAATAAGACATTTACTAGCCCACTGCGAGGGTTGAACTCACAGCCTTCAGATACCCACACCAATTGCCTAACATTGTAAGAGTCTGATGCTCTATCCGATTGAGCTAGGCAGGCGAACAGCACCAGGTGCAGGAGAGGGAATATATGACACCAACTAGACATTAGCCAGCGACAAGTAGTTCATCCAATGAATGCTAATTTCACCCCTCAACTTTCTATGTGGAATAAGAGTTTCAAGTGATCATCAATCTTTTAATACCTAGGCTCGAACATTTCTGGCTTAAGGAACCATCTAGACTTGTCTGTCTCTCCAGCCTTGGTATGTTGTCAGTGGCTCCCGATATCACACTCATTTCCAAGTCTGCCATTGCTATATTCCAGGGGTTACTCATGTATCGTACTCCAGTCCTTTTACCTGCAATGAGACCGCGCGCGCTATTGTCAAAACTGTTAACACTGATTCAGGGCTAGGAAGGTACTGCTCTACAGATTCTGAATGGCATTTGTGCATAAAAGATACATACGTAATTGTAATACCAGCCACTCTATTGATCTGTTCACCTTTCTTTTGCCATACATTCCACAACTAACAGTGGACCCATGAAGATGATGCGTATTCGACAAGAAAATGTGGCGATGATCACAACACAACAAGATAGAGAACTGACAAAACTGCCCCCACCATCGGCAGTGTTGTGCACCTCATCGGAGGCATCTCCTGCCATTCCTATCTATAGCAAAGCGCTGGTTACCACAACGGTACCTATATGCCGCCACTATATATCCGGTCCCGACGTGTCATATATAGAATGTGTACTGGAGTACATCACGCCACCTTCGCTGCTTGTTCCTGGTAAACCAAGCTGTCGCCACATCCTGCTCCCGTCCCAAATAGAGGGCAGTAGCTCAACAGCTGTACATCCACTGCTAGTACAGCCAAGCCATGGAGAGATGGCGATGAAGCTCATCTGCTCAACTTTGCTCGCAGTCTATCAAGCATATGTGTTTTTGGTCATGTAAATGAGGCAGCGACTAATCCGCCTCTTCCATCGCTGGCTAGTCCACCCAAAGCTTCTGTGACCAATAGTCATCCAGAGGTCAGGGAATCAAGAGTGGGTCACAGTCGATGATGTCATTGAGACACTGCGGTACGCTCTATGCATACATGACCCCAAACTGTCCACGTTGGCGTCACCATTCGTCGAAAAGCAGACGGCCGAGTATCTACCAAGTCACAGCATGTCGAGCAAGGTACAGCAAGGTGTTGCTCACCAGCTCAGGTTGGCATTTTTGAGAGGAAGTACACAGTTTATGGGACTCCGTGCCCTAGAGGACAACAGCTGGGAAGTACTCATTGTGTAGGATGGGCGGGCCACTTCTATGTGACTATTGGGACATTTATGTGATGTAACCAGAGACCTGACCATATGCACTACCATCATGTATCAGCTACGCACAGTAGACAACAACAAAAGACTACCCAGGGAATACTAGTAGTCGATATTGATATGGTGTTGTGTATGAGTGGAAGCGCGAGAAACAGTGGTGCCTTGGGCGTTGAAAGCGAAAGCTGTTACCCTAGGAAAGACGGGGTTTATATTACACTTCTAACCATACACAGTTGGTTAGTCCCGAAAAAACTGGGATGCATGCTCTGGTTGCTGAAGGCCTTCATGAATGATCCTGGAATTACACATCAGGCTATCCTGGCGACCGAGTATGATGACCATATTACATGGTTCTGTGTCACAGTCACAATGTCCTCTGAGTCATGAATGCAGTTAGAACCAAGCTTGACGGAATACTAGGTTCAATCTGAATACTGCATTGAAGATCTTTCCTCACCTGTGAAAAATTGACAGCTTATTAAGAATGAAAGATGGTGATTTACTCACACAATATTTGATATAAGGGCTCCGCCTGCCATTGTAGACAGCCTACAACACAAAGAAAGCTGATGTCCTAAGTCTACAACGTTGAAGTCTCAGCTTTGCACAGTGCAACATGAACATGTAAAAGGATTTCGCTGTTGCTGTCTCTTGACCCACAGGCAATAGGAGCAGTGGCTGTAAGCCAAACATTCTTATTGGTTCCAACGGTATGGACCTCGGTCACCTGGTTGGGACTGGCGTTAGAACAATTTTGTTGATCAGAACGAAGTTCAGGAGGAATGAACAAAATGGGAGGCTAATGAAGCGGTTGGAGAAATATATGAAAGCAATGGGCATGAGAGAGGGAAAGCAGAAAGGTAATCTACTGCATAATGCTGAAGAGACATGCTCAAGGTGTTAAATGAGCCTGACGCTTTGAACGTGCATCGCAAGTGGCATACTAATGAGGACATTTGGATGTGGGCGGGGTTACAAAGTTGAGAGTAGGAGAGAACAAGAGTAAGGTTGTATTTGATGTCAATGAGACTGACTCCACTCATTTTAATGTGAAAAAGATCTAATCTCCTGCCAGTAAGTTATAGTATTGGGTAGGACAGGTGCCCAGCCCAAGAGTTTTGATGGGCAGGATAAAAAGGTGACGTGGAGGACACGGCCTGATTGGCCTGAAACAAAAGACTGAATTGTATCAACACTGGTTCCACGTAACATTTTCCCACCTAGAATCCTGTCAAATACACTGTACAAAGACTGTCTCAAAGCGCCAGACTGAGCAAACTACAAAACAGCCACCATTAGCACTCCAGTACTTCGTAATGATACAGAGCACTCACTCTGCACTGTGGCATGACTACAGCACCTCCTCATGGCATTTCCTCCATCGCTGCAGTCATGATGTCTGCCGTGACCACTTTCGTCACTGACAGGGGAAGCGGCTATCGTCTACCAATAACACTGACTCACCCCGAACATAGGCTTGCTACCATGGCAGCATGTTTGGCCATTGCCATGCTTATTGTCACCATGTTTTTGGCATTGAAGATGCAACAACTGGGGGCTTGGGCATGGCGCGGGGAATCGGTGGGCAATGTCCATGATGTATTGCTTGAAAAACCAAGCGACGAGACAGAATATGGAGTGAAAGAGAAGGAAGTGTTGAATGATGCTGCAGGACTGGCACTTGCTAGGGATATACAGGCAGGGAACATTGTTCTGGTGGATGATAACGCGTTGGTGGTAGAGGGGACTTCAGTCGAAGAAAGAAACTAGTTGTCAGGGAAGTGTACGACAAGCTACAACACTGATATTCCGCACAGGTATATGAGCATTGACTTCGTTGCATAGCCTGTAGATTTCCGTACCTACCAGTACTTCGCCTAATGTCTCCCCTTCATCATATATGCTTCTGAATCCTACTCCTCCGCCATCAATATTGTATTTCAAGAATCACCACTGAGGGGTTCATCTCTCACTGGTGTATCTTTCAGATATATTATAAGCTTGCACAAACTGTACTGACCTTGATTCTCATGCCAACTACTTGACTTGATTGTGTCTTATCCCGTTCCTCTGCGGTTTTGGTTGGTGAAGAATATTGTTCCGCCCATGCCGAATCAGGTAGGATGAATATTTTGACGGCACTGGACAACTAGCTGTACCCAAATAATAAGACTGAAAACGCACTGAAATGAGAACAAATGACTTACATCACCTTCGTTATTGGTTCAACAACCTTGCTCTGTAGCCAGACAAATGATGTTTCCTTTTTGTCGAACAAGTACTGTATGCTTGCTATTCATAGGTTTCAGTGAGAAACTATAGAAGAGAATCACAGACATCAACCCACCATAGTAATAGTGGTAGTAAAAGCTGAAACATCGGTTCCTGAAGTCATCTGATTGCGGGCTCTGAAATCTGACCCCAGCAAAGGATCGGCATTGCCGGCAATAATTCTTGCTCTTCCTTGGTTTCCACTTGCCAGGCTATTGAACGACTTTTCTTCATACAGATCGTAGAGTCTGGTTTACAAGACTATTTCAAGGCACTTGTTCCTTCAAAAAAAAGTTCTCATGCTTTACAATAGACCCTTGGCTTCTATCTGGGGAATATGACGATCGGAGCTTTCCGTTAATACCTGATAGGTCCTTTGTCCCTACCTGCAGGCCTAATGTTTGGAAGGGAGACAGGCATAAGAGGAATAAATATTGGACTGTTGAAGAACTAGGTTTTGCATCCACAGTGCATTCATCCTTGGACATGATGGACTTGAGGAAGGCTCCAGGTATGCTGTCTGCTGATAGTAATCCCTCCTGGTAGTTCTATATGCTGCTCACTGTGATGCCCCTTCCCCTGTACCCGATACGAAGCTTCCGTTTATTCCTCTGTCGTACACATGTCAAGTGAAGAGGAGATGGATATACAGTTGTAGCGTCTCTTGTCTCCTTCCACCACATTCACACTGCTACTCTTCATTTTCGCCGCACCAGTGAACCCCATCTACCTCCCGCCCTATACTCCGAACATCATCAAGGGGTGCATAAAAGGCTACAACTTCTTTCAGGATACCCAAAATGTGCCAAAAACATGCTCGGAAGAGCTCGATGCTGCCTGGGCTATGTTGGCGGAGCTACAGGTGCATGTAAGCCGGGTGGAGGACAAGGAGATGGCTCTTCTGTCTGTGTCACTACAGAATAACAAAACAACCCTGGATAAGTTGGATTCCATTTTGACAGTGTCACAATACCCAAGTCAGGTTTCCATTCAAGACATACTTTGAGTGGGTTCTGTCAGACGAGGAGAAAATTAGAGCGCTTTGCGACAATCTGAAATAAATTTCTGGGAATTTTCAGCCTCTTCTGATCCATATGGCATAGATATTCTCTACTTCGCCTGTCACTTGCTAATCTGATGCCTACCTTTTAGTAGAGATGTGGGCGATATCAACTTTTGGGGCCAGAAGAAACCAGAGGCCAAGAAACATGCCAGGAACTAAGTAATCTCACCAAACCCAGTACGTCTGTTGCACGCTCTTGCCGAAAAATGTCATACCAACCGAACGCCTCCAGAATGTCATGATATGGCTGGAGTCTCTAAATTCCGAGGCGAAACTATGGGAAATGTGCGAAATGATGTTGGCCTAAAACATACAAATGGCTGCTTTCACAAGACCAATCTGTCTCGTGTTATTTGTCTGGTTCTTTTCTATAGCAGAACGGCATGCATGAG